ATATATATTTTAAAGTAAAGAAAACTAAAGTTTAAAGTAAAGAGTTTCAAGTTAATCATAAAGAAACTCGAATTAAAGACAGTGGTCCATAGAGTCATAAAGGTTAAAGTAAATAGACTCTTAAATTTGTGCAGAAGCTGAATGTGATTGTGCATCACATTTGAGGCTTTCGTTCTGGACTAAAGGTGATGGTTTTCACATGGCGGATGCCGGTAAAAGTTTCAGAACGGCATACATGTTTGTGTATGTTGCAGAGGACGCTTAAGGGCGTACATCGGATTTGACCATAAGGGATGTACGGCTCTATTACATTTGACCATAAGGGATGTACGACTCTATTACACTCCACTAAAACCACCATAAGGAAAATATCTTTAGAACATTAGTGGTACTAGCGGTTGGACCGTGGAGTGACCTTATGCCATATTAGAGCATATAGTGTTTTCACGATCAACCATTAGTGGTACTTTTGTTTTAAGGAAAAGCTTTCAGAAACTATCCTAATTAGAATCATGGCAACAAGTTATTTTCTAAAATAAATGGGTGCGCACCCGACTTTTAAAAGTTTTAAAAATTTAAATATTTTTTAAAAATTAAAATGAGGTATGTTGTGCCAAGTGGGAGATTGTTGGGTTCGATTAATCTAACGAACCCATTTGGCCCAACCTACTCGATTTTGGATTTGATTTAAAGTTGCCATCGATTCAAGTTAGGATCAGGATGCTAACCACATGGTCTGGTTAGACAAGTTTCATGTTTATCAAGTTGGGTGGTTATCTTGAATATCTAAAGGATAGGATCGATCGGAGTGTAATCCCACGGTTGTGATTAAACCATGATGGGTAGGGTTAATCACAAATATCTATATAAAGGGTGGGAGTCCCTCCTCTCAACCGTATGCAGAAAAGAGACCTAATTCCCACCATTGGCTACGGGAGGAGAGAGGAGAAGACTTTCATTATTTTCGTCGGTGAACGGTAACTTTAATCTGAATTTCTAGTTCAATTATTCATGTCTAGATCGTTATATTATCCAACAGTAGGATCATATAAGTTAAGCTCATGCTTGAAATTTATTTTAACCAACACCCATGTGTAAATATTATAATTGGCATTGAAATCTAAAATATGTGTGATATTCTCTTTGATTTTTATGCAAATAGTATCTATTTAATTAATAATAGTATAATTAAACTTTGTGATCTGAAAAAAGATCAAACATACAATATAAATAATTGCTTTAAAATAATCTTATCTAATCTAATAAGAAGAAAATAGATGAAAATGATATAAAAATTATTGTAATTTTATAATTTGTAATTTTTAAACAATCTAATCTAATCTAATAAGAAGAAAATAACAAATGCACATACCTGTTGAAAGAGATGAAAGTACTATGAAAATTATTATAATTTTTAATCTGAAAAAAGATCAAACATACAATATAATTACTTATTTTAAAATAATATAATATAATATAATAAGAAGAAAATAGATGAAAGTGTTGTGAAAATTATTGATATTTCTTAATATGAAAAAAGATCAAATATACAATATACTTAATTGTTTTAAAATAATCTAATCTAATCTAATAAGAAGAAAATAACAAAGGCATATATCTATAGAAGGAGATGAAAGTGCTATGCAAATTGTTGTAATTTCTTGGCTTATATACATTGGTATGTGATGTTGCATGTGAGATGATAACAATTGTAAATATAATTCTATATAAATAATAAGATTATAATTAAACTTTAAAACTAATTATGAAGTACCGTGAACTATTTGAATTTTAGTTGGTGAGAGATCGCCACGCTGTGTCCTCATATCGTAGCCGTTTGTTTTAATTTTTCTTTTTTATAATTTTGAGAACGATTTCGTCTCTTTAATTTATTTGGTTGATTTTGAAAATACTCCATTCACATTATGTACATTTGTAGATTTGTGATGTTCCTGGGTTCAACCTCAGGAGCGGACATTATTTGTCTCACTAATTTGTTTGGTTTTTGCATACACGCCATTCATCTTGTATACATTTGTAAATTTGACATTTAATAATTTCATTCAGGTTTACATTTTAATTTAAACTATATCATTATCTTCATACTATGTTTATCCAATAAGAATTCATCAATTTATCAACTCACTCTTACTTAATGGATTAATATTCGAATTTCAAGGGTATTTTTGCCTACCAAAAGATTTTTCTAAACTCGTGGTTTTAAAGATATATATCATATAATAATTATATATATATATATATATATTATATATATAATATATATATATAATATATGATATGAGTATTAATGGGTATCCTTGTCATTAGGAGGGGTTTCCTCCTTGACGCCCCCTCTAAAAAATCACATGATTGAGCCGACATTATGGTGATCCACTCCATTGAACTTGATCTAACATATTCTAATCCCAACACACCAAGTTGGGGTGAATCCGTCGTCGTTTGACCATCCATCGAGCCATGTGAAAACTTCTATTCATTTCAAAAAACCGCTTTAAAAATTGATACGAGTGGAGGAAGGGTCTAAACGACGACGGTTCACCCAAACTTGGCCTTGTTGGGTTTAGGAATATGTAGATCAAGATTCAACGGAAGCGGAATCACCACAATATCGCTCCAATCATGCTGATTTTAGAGGCGTCAAGGAGAAACTCCTTCTATGACAAGGTACCATTATCTATATAATAGTATATTATATAATATATATATATATATATATATTATATATATATATATATATATAATGAATTATTAATTTAAAAAGCAGAATTAAATAAATACATGCATGCATCCTATAATAATAATAAAAAATGCATGCATGCATCTATACTACCGCATTTACAGCTACGATGGCATTACCATTAAAAGACGTCTTGTGTGTTCCCACTCGATCGTGAGAGAGAGAGAGAGAGGCCATCAACATCTCAGTCTCCATCCACCCTAAACTCATCATCAAAATCCAATCTTTACCTCAACAACAAAGAAATTTGATGCCAGAGAGAGACCCCAAGCAATCAAAATCCAATCTTTCCTTAAAAATCAAGCAAAAAAATGAGATTCAAGCCACTCTCCCACACCACCAAATCCCTCTTCCTTCAACCCCCAAGCCAACCGAACAAACCCTTCACCCTGAACCCAAAACCTCTCAAATTCCCATCAATTCACTTTCCGTCGCCGTCACCATCGATATCGTCGTCATCCTTCAAAGCCAGACCAACAGCGGCAGAACCCAAAAGGGGGAGCTTTTATGAGCTTCTTGGGGTATCAGAAGGAGGGAGCGGTGATGAGATCAAGAGAGCATACAAACAACTGGCGAGAAAGTATCACCCTGATGCCTCCCCTGGTCCTGAGTTGGCTGAGGAGTACACGAGGAGGTTCATTGAGGTGCAGGAGGCTTATGTGACTCTCTCGGATCCTCGACGGAGAGCTGTTTATGACGGGGATTTGGCTCTTGGACTGCATCCCGCATTCTCAACGAGGAGGAGGTCTGATGAGGTGAGCTGCATGCATCAATTTATTAGCTTTTCTTTGTCGTGATTAATTTTGCTTATATGATAAAGATGCACTTTTTGTCTGCTTGTGTGGAAATAAAGATCCAAATGCAACCATATTTATATTTCAAAATTTTTTGTTTGCACCAATTTAATTAGGATAGACAAATGAATTTACAATTTGTGGGGCGAAAGAACTGCAATAAACTCTGTGACCAATGTGATGGGAGCAAAAGCTTACCCTCCGAAAAAGAAAATTTTAAAAATAAAAAGTAATCCCACCTCATAAAAACATTTGTCGCCATTAATGCATGGGTTGTAGGCGTCAAAAAATGCTGAAAGATATCCAAACATAGGGAAAACCACTCAAAACTGACAGATATAA